GTTAGTTACAATATCACTAAAAGCTTATTAAAACGTGATTTACGCTTATTCAATCGCGAAAACTAATATTTTTTGACTTGGTACAGTTAAAAAATATGCGAAAAACAGATTAAATCAGCGTCAGCGTAAACAAAACCAACCGTTCGCGGGCAGAGCCTACTGCGTTCTTCATTTTCCTTCACGAATGAATTTGGTTGCAAATGTAAGTGAGAACTCTTCTGAAATTTGCAATCTCTTTGCCAATTTCTTCCAAGAAGTATACACCACATTTTCCGAAGAAGATCGTGACCACGATTTCTTTGCATTCATTCCTGAAATTTCTAAAAACATCTCAGTCAACCAACTTTCTCAACATGACATTCGAAATTATCGTGGAATTGCTATTATTTCTTGCATTCCAAAACTTTTTGAATCAATTGTAAACGGCAAGAATTTTCAGCATGTGAAAAATCTTATTACAAGTAAACAGCACGGTGTTTTTTTAAAGGTCGCTCAACTACCTCTAATATTCTAGATTATGTATCTTTCATTCTTAAAGCGTTGGACAGTGGCAAGCACGTATACACCAACTTCAGTAGAGCATTTGACCGCATCGACATACCATTATTAATTCTCAAATTGCAGAAAATAGGAATGGAGCCTGGACTTTTGAATTGGCTTCAATCATACCTAACATATCGTAAAAAAATAGTCCGCTTCCAAAATAAACTTTCAGAACCAATTCCAGTCACCTCTGGAGTACCCCAGGGTTCTCATTTAGGCCCGCTTCTTTTTTTTTATTTTGGACATAAACGATATTTCCTACATACTTAAAAAAATAAAACTGCTTGTATATGCAGACGACATGAAGCTCTTCATGGAAATTAGTAATTCCAGCGATGCAGAAGAATTCCAGAATGAAATCAATATATTCCACACCTGGTGTAGTAAAAGTCTACTTCAACTGAACGTAAAAAAATGTACCGCAAAATCATTTAGCAGAAAAATTGAAACACCGCATATTGAAATATCATTAGGCAACCAAATAGTAGAAAAATACAATATTGTAAGAGATCTAGGAGTAATCCTAGACTCCAAACTAACTTGTATAGAACATTATAATACTATCATTAGTAAAGCAAACAGAATGCTAGGCTTCATTAAAAGGTTCAGTCATAATTTCGAAGATCTATTCACTATTAAGCTATTATATACCATATATGTAATGCCAATTCTGGAATACTGCTATCTAGTATGGAATCCATACGTTTCCATATACGAAGAACGCAGAGAATCTGTCCAAAAACAATTCCTTTTATATGCTTTACGTAAATTTAATTGGACTGCATTTCCATTACCATCTTATGAAGCGCGCTGCATGCTCATCAATATACAAACACTTAAGAAGCGCTGCCAGTTTGCAATGCTTTTCTTCATCGACGACATTATTTCAATGCGCATAGATTCGGCAGAAATTCTCGCACAATTAAACTTTTACACACTTTGTCGATATCTTAGAACACGGAATTTATTTTCTGGAAAATCGTACAGAACAAACTATGCAAAAAATAGTCCAATCAATGGAATGATGCGCCTATATAATTTGCATTGCGGAACTATTGATTCAATATGTCCAAGCAGCAAATAAAAACTAAGCTTAAAACAGAATAGAAATAATGCATAGTATGTAAGTAAACATTGTAATAATCATTGTATGTAGTCTACAGTGTACACAGTGTACAGTGTAGACTCTTCACTGGCTTGACGAAATGGATAAATAAACAGGTGTCCACTTTCTTTAATGATGATGATGATGGTCCCACCTCTTACCCCTACAAAGGTTTGAGCTGGACGATTTATCTTTAAGATAATTAAATATGACATTTTAACCAGGTTGGCAAACGAAATCGAATTGGTTTCAGTTACAGATATAAATTCCCTCTAGAGTTTACAGTTGCTTCACAGCGATATAAATGTGGAAAAGCTCAGGCGTCCACCTCTTAGTTCGCCTTTTTGTCCTCCTAAAATATTCATAAGTATTACAAGCAATCAAAAGTTCATGAACAATCAACAAAGCATCCTATTACACTAGCAATCCCGCAATCTGATGCTATCATAATTTTCAGCAATGTCAGGAATGCTCACGAACCCCCAACATTTGCCAGAAAACTTACTACTAATTCAAGGTATCTTCCAAATAAGCATCAAAATTGCATTTTTTTTTATTAAATGTTAAATTCAGTCCTCTATATCCGTAATACGCGCACGAGGCTCAAACCTTTGTAGACTATTTTTTTTACTACTACTATTAAATCAAATATCAAAAATCCATCGTCACCATCGTGGCGAACAAAATAGTTTTTGCAGTGCTACAATAATTATTAAAATTTCGTTATAACAGCTATCCATACAAAATATTCCGTTAAAAATAACTTCGTCAAGATACGTAATTTGTCAATTCATAAATAAAAATCAATGGATAACCGTTCAAAAGACAGTTTTAACGTGTGAAATGCAATGTCTCTTAAATTCTGCTAATGTTGTTGCAAATTTGTGGCACATGTCCATTCTGCAATGATTTATCAATGAGGTCCAGAAAGATGTGGCCAATGACATGAAAGCAATCTTGAATAACTCTAGCATTAACATTATCTACTCCAGCCGATTTTCCTAATGAAAAACAAATAACTCTAAGTTCATCTAATGTAATTGGGTAAAAAACTTCAAATCTACAACTACTATTAACTGGCTGTTTTATTTCGTCAGGTTCATCGACCAATTCAATAGATTGATTAATCAATGAAACACTGTCTACAAAATAATCATTAAACTTAGCTGCAATTACTTGTTCTGACTGTTCTAATGTGCCATTAAAATTTATGGACCGCGGTTTGCAATTACTAGGTTTTAATAAAGATTTCAAAATTTTCCATAACTCTTTGCTGTTGTTTTGATGCTGATCAATCTTCCTTTGAACTTATTCACAACGAGTTTTCTTTATCGATTGTGAATACTTATTACGCGCTATTGTGTACCTAGTCCAATGATTGTCATTATTAGATCTACAAAACTTTTTGTACCATTTGTCCCTTTTCCGTTTAAGACGCAAAAGATCCAAATTGTACCAGCTGTTCGAGTTGTTCAAAGAAACAAACTTTTGCTCAACTAGTTGATTGGTACACGTTTTCAAAGCGTTATTAAGAACAGCTGTAGATTCATCATAGTTACCGGCCGCGAATGGAAAATCCAGGCTTCTCTCAACAAGATTCGAAACAGCTTGCTTCGAATATTTCTTCCAGCACTTCAATTTTACAAAATTATCGTTATCGTTAACATGGTCTAATACATTAATCACTAAAGTCTCATGATCGGTTATTTTCAAATCAGTATCCGTAACTGAACAAATGGAATCAAAATTGGAATAAACGTGGTCGATTAAAGTTCTACTGTGCCTGGATATACGCGTATATTCATTTACCGTTTGCTTTAAATAAAAAAAACTCAGCTAAACGCTTCAAATGATTCGAATTATGGTTATCACGCCAATTAATATTAAAATCACCAGCCAATATATTTAATTTACTAGAATCAAGGAATGTCTCGAGCCAGTTCTCTAAAACTTCAGCAAAACGCTGGTCACTAGAACTGGGAGAATGATTCAAAACACCATAATTACCCATCTTCATGCCACGTACAACTGTAATGCCCAAGAACCAGTTGCCATCAATTACTTCGTTGGTACGAAGGTTGAATTGAACTGATTCTTTGACATAAACAGCAACACCGCCAGTGTGTCTAGAATGTGATAAACAAGCAGCAACAATATATCCCGGAATACTATACTGATCAAAAGCTTCAGTTTCTACAATATGAGTTTCAGATAATAAAACTAAAAGAGGAAGTTTTTCTTCAACAATCTGACATAATGCTACGTAGTTTGTTGACAACCCCAATATTCAAGTATAAAAAATCGAATTGATTCACATTCCTGGAACTTGGCTGCTATTTATTGAAACGCAAGCTGCTTTTCTTCTGATCAAAAAGTCTTTTATAGAGCAAACATTCAGAGCTAAATGCGGCATGGTTGACGTCCAAGTTCATTTGTCGTTCTTTATTCATTTTCAAACAATTAATACATTTCAATACAGTTGACGTACACTCCGACGTTTTGTGTTGTTGGCTGCACCTAGAGCATCTATCACAATTTTTGCAATCCATGCTCTTGTGTCCAAATTCTCCACATTTGAAGCATATCAACACATTAATCGCGGGAACTATCGAGCACCGATCAAACCCTACATTTACTTTTTTCGCACATAACAAACATTTATAAGTATCGACATTGACTTCAATTACAACACTAAACTTGTTATAAGTGAAGCGTGGATTTTCAAACATGTTCACTACTTTTACATCATTAATAGCGATGTCTTCATTTTGACTTTTTAAGTAGTCAATAAAGACATCGGAGGAAAACTGATCGCTCATGCCCACTGTAACAAGTACGCTTTTGCATTTATTTATTTAATTATTTATTTGCATGGAATTCCTATTTAGACAATTTTCCACATTTAATTATATTGCATTAACTTTCGTTTTTCAAATAAATCCATAAATTTGTTCACCGCCAAGGAACGAACATCCACTTACGTAGAGTTACACTTGTCATACAAAAAAAAGTAATGAGTTCCCTACGTTCAGATTGAAGCGCAAATTCAAATATTATAAAGCCTGTCGAGCTTGCCGACGCTACGAAGTTACAGCGTCGTAAGGTGGACATCGACCCGCCAGATTTCCATTGAAAATGCAATGACCTTTTTCCGTTCGGCTTTGCGCACTCCTACCGAATTCCGGGGAGAGAGATGACTGGACTCTGGATAGTCCGTTGAAAGAGATGCTGCAAGGCACTAATAATCGGGTGCACAATTGCGAGAGTTTGGTGGTCGTGAAATTGGGTGTCGTCCAAGTTCGCGACCTCCCGGGCAAAGGTCACAATCTAGTGGCTATCTGAGGAATTCCTCAGCTTTGATCGTCCACTTCGAATCGATCTGTGGAAGAGGCAAGAGTGGTCGGTGTTTTGTCTCGTGTCGTGGTGTGATTAAAAAGGTAGTTTGCGTCATGAACTTTCTTTATTAGATTGTTAATTTAAATTCTTTCCCAGTAGTGTTAGCTTAGTGTAAAACCCTAGCAAGCTAGTTAGTAGGCGGCAAAGTGTGTGTCTCGAAGAAAGTACAAGGTAAAGTGAGCGTTTATCGACCGTTAGACCAGGTCAACTTATTAGCGTGTGCGTGCGGATATAATCCAACAGGTTCGTGGCAGCGGAGGCCATTTGCCGTCACACCACCCTATTGTCAGAGACCGCTTTTGACCCCACCTATCGGTTTCGGAGGATTCCCGGGGCACACGTGGCCGGAAGAGGGTCGCTATCGCCAATTTGCGGACAGGCAGGCCAAAATTCGTCCCATCTGTAGTCATCGAATAACAGAACAGCATACGTTGCACGTGTTCCAGTGTTCGGACGATCGAACGCATGTGCCGCGTTCAAGCGTAAGCCCGCGTTTCCGGTGAGTGAGACATTTCCAGCATCAGTCGATCGCATCCGCGATAGTTTCTGGGCCGAAGTAGTGCAATACGCAGCTTCGGTACCGCCGCCGTCTCTTCACCCATAGCACCGATGTAATTCCTAGGTTTTCGAGTGAGTACATGCATGTATATTTTTCGTTGTGAACGTCCATGCGCATGAGACAAACGAAAGCTTCGCGAAACATAACCGTCTCATAGAATGGGTGACCCGAAGCCATCCGTCAGCCCATAAATTGTTTCATTGAATGGGTTAAAGGTGAAGCCGAGAAACACCAGGAGAGCAGGAATCGTACGGAGGAAACTCGCACCGAACACACGTATGGGAGTAGAATGAATAGTGCACACGCTAGGGAGTAGGATAGATGGTATGATAGAGGGAAAGGAAAGAACAAAGACCTAGGCAAACAGACATGTAGGGAGCAGGTGAAATACAATCCGTACCGAATAAATAGGATGGGAGCTTTTCTCTTAACTTTGTAGTTGAGCTTTGCTAGTACGGTGACAATTGTCATGTTCCGTAATAAATACAGTTAACCCCCTAAAGCCATGGTTTTTTTGGGTAGCGTACCATTGATGAACTGCCGAGTTAACTTCTTATGAAGGATTTTCATGTCGTTTCGTGTTCGTTTCCTGTAGTTTCGTAGAGTCAATTTACTGGGGAAGTCAGCCCTGAATCTGACATTTATTGTGCTGGCAACTCTCCAATCTTTTCGGATTGGTTCGTTTGGACTTTCAGGCTGGGCCTGTGATGAGAACATCCCCTAACGAGATTTTTGGTTCGGACGAATTGTCGGTCTTGTGCACACGTAATTGTTCGTGTTTTGTAGAGTTTCTGGACAACGGTAATTTTAGTCAGCCAGTCAGCTTTCTTCCCGTATTCGGGACATATTGACCCAATCCCTTGGATGGTCTCAGGCCGGGCAAACCTACAATCTGCTAGGTGGTCTCCTTCTAGGAGTGGCGCTTAAGCCACCCATCTAACGAACGGAAAGCTTGACGGGCTGGCGGGTTACACCACTATTTTCAATCTTGGCACCGAAGTGGGAACAACAACACTATATTTTTCACCCAGATTGCTTTCAATACCATTTTTCACATCACTTACGTTTGCTCCTGTTGCACACTCAAAAATCATGGAGCCATCTTTACCATTCCTAACATTACTGATTTTGTGTGTTTTTGGATCTAACTGAGTTTTCAAAAACTTACGAGTATCTTCGCAAGGTTGTTTGGACTCTTTCAGTTTAATCACAATGACCGGACGAGTCTTACGATTATCTGGTTTGTTACTTTTACTGTTACTGTTACTATTAGTTTTACTTTGACTAGCACGACTATGTCTTTTTACAACATCCGCAAAACTTGCATCTTCTTAAAAACAACATCATCATCATGACCACTATTACTAATTATTAATTTACGTTTTTTTGCGTCTGGTATTTTGGTCCGATTCTGACTGAATCGTCCTAGATGAACTGCGCTGATCATTCTTTACAGCTAATTGGTTTTCCGCATCAGTTTTAAAAAATGAACTTTTCATATTATCCAATTTCTCACAAATTAAATTTCCAAGACCATTTACATTTATTCTAATGTCTGCCATCCCGCTTTTCCACCTGAGCAGCAATGTGATCTCGCATGCCAGTGATCGAGTCCGAGAGTTGAAAAACCTTCTTCATCTCTTCCTCTATCCTTTTGACGCGCGAGATCTGATCATTCTGCTCGTCACAACTCTGATCTGATAGACAACTATCACACTTGAACAGAACATTTGCATTATCTGCTATAAGCCTCGCCGCAGTCTAAGTGAGTGCCGCACAAGCGAAATGGAACGTTCCATTGCACGGACCTACACATGTAACTGGGAGCCCACTCATAGCAATAGACTGCTCGCATACATTACACACATCCATTTTACCAAATTAAACGCTAACACTGTTAGCAGCAGACATATACAGGGGAGGAGAACACAAAATAAAATTTTACCGCCACAGCTCACTATACAAAGCAATAGCGCGCCGGGGGGAAAATACAAAATTAAACAAAAACTAGTTGCTAGGCAACCTTTCCTCTACTTATCCTGTTAGAAAAACAACAGTCCTTATAGAAATGTTTAGCGTTGAAAAAAGTCCAAGGATTTTAGATAAAATAATAAATAAATTGAAGGTCTGAAACTTATTCTGGTGTGCTTATATATTATTGGATAGTTTAAGATCGATTCTCTGAGAAATTAGGATAAACCAATCGAATTAACTTTTGTTTCAATTCATTGTTTATGTAAATCATCACTATTTTGGTACCACATTGACTTAAGGCTCCTATCATCCCAATATGCACGATAAAATGTAATGTGCATATGCATTAGAACTAAAAAAGCTGCCATAAGCCACTTTACACACTATCAAACAAAATCAAATGCACAACGATCTTGATTGATCTTGAGCTTTTTGTAACGGCAATAGATTTCTAAATAAAAAAAATAGTCTGGCTCACTGCTGTTATAGTTTTTGTAGAACAGCACATCAACAAGTTAATGTATGGCAGTTACTCTCAAGCAATAAGAAATCAAAATTGGATTTATCTAAATTCGATGAGTTTAGTATAACTCGTAAAGAGATTATGAGAACCTCTTATAGAGTATGGAGATTGTTTTCGCAGTGTTTTAAAACAGCTTTATTGATATTCTCAAGCATGTTTTAAAAATCATATTAAGAGTGGTCCACTTATCTGGAAGGCAATTTCATAGCGGTTATCTGGAGTTTGTGGTGGAGCTCTTACGTTTATTTACTGTTTTATAGAATTGATCTTAAAAACCGCTAATAGACTACAATAAAACTACAAAAAAATTTGGGATAGGCCACATCTAAATATGTTCTGATTGCCCCCGGGATAGTGGTCAAAATCGAAACTCATCATGTGACATATCAAATCACATGAGAATTTAATAAAAAAGTCATGGATTGTGCTATGCATCTTTCCATTCAAAAGTAAAACTAAAATTAAATTGAAATAAGATTTTTGAAAGAAGCATCGCAGAGAAGCTTTCTTGAAAGAAGCATCTAAAAGAAGCTTCTTCTTTCACAAACTTATAAAAGAAGCTTCGAGACCGATCAGCCAGTTTTCATTTCAAATAGCAAACGCAGCCATCGATTCCATTTACACAAAATACGACTTGACACACATTGAACGAAAAGCCAAGCATGGGCGATAGAAGCGCAATAACGCAGCAGTGGAACACATGTTTTGCTGACTCGTATTACCTACTTACCTACGCTGGTGGTTTTTTTACTACGGGAAGGTCAAAATATAAATAACCAAAACAATGGCATCAATGGACGCGCAAAAGCAAAACACCCAAAATACAATATTTGTCAACAACGCACATCTCTACAGAATAAACCTCGATGACAGCAATATATGTAGCTGCAGAACAGGTTATGATGACATCGATCACGCAATTCGGTATTGCCCGGGTATTAACGCCTCCAGAGCACGACTATTGACATGCGATTGTTGGATACCCTAGTGGCCCGAGGTAGATAACCCTTTCATGAAGTAAGAGATGTATTGGGAACCCGTGATCTTCCCTACATGCAGGCGATCTACGAATTCCTTTGTTTGTCTGATGTTAGAGTTTGATGTGACCATCGCCTCCTTTCCAAACAATTTCCAGCCATTGTGTCCCAGTCTTATTATCCTCCTGTTTCTGTGCTACTTGCCTCTGCCCTGCCAGGATTTGGTCAACTGTCCGAGAGTAGTATCTGAAGGAGGCTTCAGAAACCAGTTTCCTTCCAATTGAAATTGTTACTTATTAACCTCGAGCCTGCCACGAGTAATTGGTACCCAATACTAACCTAGAACTTCTGCTGTTTAAAATGTAAATTCAAACATTACTGATTTTTGGCTCCGAAAAGTGTCACACACGAGTGAGCCTAGTAAATAAACGAACTAGTTAAAAAAACAACATTCTGCCCAGGTGTCTATTCCTATCTCCTTTAAATTCATCAAACTATTGTAAGTTGAATCATGTAAAACCCTGAAGAGTTCTGGACATAAAGGTTCAGTCTCGGCTATACCATTAACTTCAACGCGAGTCCCGACGTTAGTCGGCGAACCATCGCTTATTGAAGAAAGAAAGCCATTGACTAAGAGTGACCTTCTTCTTCTTCTTTGCATTTCAAGCTTATTGCTTATGGCATATTAGCTTAGTGCGTGCTCTCAACTTAGTGTTCTAGATGCACTTCCACAGTTATTAATTGAGAGCTTTCGATGCCTGCTACCATTTTTGCATTAGTACAATTGTGTGGCAAGTTCAATCATACTCTATGCCCAGGGAGGCGAGAAATTTTCCAACCCAAGAAATTCCTAGACCGGACCGGGAATCGAACTCAGAGTGACCTACGGACTAGTGATAGTCAGTAGACCACCACTCAGGTCTCGATCGAACAGTGTCTTCAGTATGATCGTATGATCGATTGATTAAGTGAGTGTGTAAGTATCCTTTTACGTAGTCGAACGGGCTGAAGTTAGAATGCCCCAGTTCGGACCACGGCAGAGTGTTCAAAATTCCTAGGACCACATCTGAACATGTACCGGGTGTCCCCTGGGAAGAGACCCGAATCTCATGATGCGATGCATAAAATTTAAAAATTTTTTTAGTGCGATCAGATGTTAGCTATTACACATCTTGAGTCATATTAATGCATTGAGAACCTAAACATTAGGAATATAAAAAACCAGGTCTCGGTCATAATGTTTTAATCTTACTGACAGACATACTGTAGGGAATGAACGCAACTAGTTGAATCATAGAATTTTATTGGTGATAATTAATATTTTA